ATTTGTGAGGTAAAAGTTTATGAGAGTTCATTTATTCTCCATTAGTTCTTTGATTGGATGTGACCTTTTAGGTTGATATTTAAGAAGATAATTCTGTACTTGAGAAGTAGTCCCAGTCATTGATTTTTAATAAAAACAGATACCTTTCTATCTGTGAGCTGGAAATATAAAGTGACAAAATGAACACATTTAATGCACAAGAGAAGCATTAAATAATTAGAAAATTGATTACTGGCTCAATAATTCTATTTCCCAAATTACATTTTGGTTTCTCCAGGAATAAAATGAAGATGACCTACTGAATTAGCAAGTTCTCAAAAATATAATTAGAAGACAACCACAGATATTGTGTCCTACAAAAGTTTTTGTTATTTACAGTGAACTTAAAATGACCCCTAAACAGATATGTATCTGCTATAGCAATCAGTTCAGATCAACAAGCACTGCTCTAATAAGCTGACTTCATTAAAGAGCTTTTAACCCTCTCACCAATGCTCTATAGGTGCTGAATTTCTTTTTCACACAAAGCATTGTTTTTTCAAATCCTGTTTCTTTCTATTTTCTCAAACCAAGATCACCCTATTCTCCCCTACTTATTTCCATTTTTCACTTCCATCTACAAACCCTTGACTCAACTTTTCAGAGTTTCCATTCAAACTTCTCTGTTCAAATCTAAAATGAAGACAAATCTGCCAAAAACCACCACCAAGGTACAGTTCTGTTCAATGTTTCTCATGTCTTCTCTATTTAAATTAGGAATTTTTTTACAATACATAAAAGGTATTGAAAGAGAATCTATATTCTGCATGATGTTAATGCTCAAATTTTCAAAAAATATGTTGACTAAAAAGGACCCAGTATAGAGTTGCATTCTGTACTTTCTAAATAATTGTCAATATAACTATATAATGGGTTTTTTTTTTCAACTTAAGAGTCATGAGATAATTTAGTGAATAACAGTGAAAATGCATACTTTTTTTTTAAAGCTTTTATTTATTTATTTGACAGAGAGAGAGAGAGAGAGCGCGAGAGCACAAGCGGGGGTGGGGGTGGCAGGCAGAGAGAGAGGGAGAAGCAGGCTCCCCAATGAGCAGGCAGCCTGATGCGGAGCTTGATCCCAGGACTCGGGGATCATGACCTGAGCCGAAGGCAGACGCTTAAATGACTGAGCCACCCAGGCGCCCTGAAAATGCATACTTTTGATGACCACTCCTGTGACTCTCAAAGAAATTAAATACTAAAACTGAAGGAAAAAATCTGTTTGTCTTATTTTCCAGTAAATGGACACTGGGCATTCCAGAAATGACACTGCTTGCTGATAAGAATGGAAAGTCATATAGTGGGTAATATCATTAAAATAAAATTATCACAGCTTCTGGCCTTTTTGGGTAATTTTCTACCTTTACTGAATGGAGCGTTCTTTGGAGAAGTTTCCCTCATTCATGCAATTCCCAAATAATTGGTGCATTTGTTTTTTTCATTTATTCCTTTAATCTCACTCTTTGACTTCCTCATTCCCTCAATCAGTCACTGAACCTTTTTAATATGCCAGGCCCTAGAGACACACAGATAAAAAGCAGTTACTGTTCCTCAGGGGCAGGACAAGCGCCACGCAGCGTACTGCCGAGGTGTGTGGGGGGGGGGGGTACGGGGAGAGAAGAAAGGAGGGCAGGATAACTTCACGCAGAAGACGATGCCCAAGCTTTTCTTCGAAGAGAGAAGTTTGCCTGGTAAAGAACAGGGGAAGGGATGTTTCAGAAAGAGGAAACAGCGTCCATAAATTCATGGAAATTCACGGAAATTTTAGTAGAACCTATACTGGTAGAATGAGGGAAAGAAGAGGGTCTCCTGAGATACGTAAGTCTGGAGAGATAAGCTTGGATCAGATTACAAGGGGCCTTCTGAGTCATAATTCCTGGAACATAGTAAATGTTCAATAAACGTCGGCTTCACAGATGTTAATTTCACAATCACTAATGATACCAATTTTAATTAAACTTAAGAGCTATCTAAGGAAAAATACCTATCTTTTCAACTCAAGATCTTTAGGTTTAAGGACAGTAGTTCCCCACTGATATATGGATGAGATCATTACTGGAAAAAGAAAGAATACTGAACACCCAAAGATACTGTCATAAACAAAAGTATTTTACTAAGCTACAAAATATACGTATCTTGGTATCATTCATGTACAGCTGACATATTTCAATCTAGAATCCTAGTAATTTGTACATAATAACAATAATAGCATAATTCACAAGGAAAATTTGACATACAGGCTTATTTCTCCAAAGGACACTATTTCTCATTTTTGGTCTGTAACGTTTAAGTGTATCTATGTTTTTTAGGATATAAGAAATAAAAAAACTCCCAAGCTTTTAAACTCTGAGTTCCTCTAACTGGAATGACTATACCTAGAAATAAATCTTATAGAGTTCCTTATTCCTATTGATCAAGGCTGGCGGGGGGCATAGCCACTATGTTCGTGAAATGTTCCCTTCTAAACCTCTTTGGGCTGGAGCCTTAAAAATTTAGCAGTAGCTAACTCAATTTGATAAGCTTTCAAACAGGTATTTAGTGGAACATTAATTCGCTTAAATTTTTTCATTCTTCAAACAGTTACAAAGACTGCCCCCATTTTAGCTGTAAAATCGACACTTAGTGAAAGTTTGCTATTTAAAAACTTTATACTTCACTTTTCATTGTTTCCTATCTTCTGCCATGCTAAAAAATTAAATGGCAATTTGAACTTTGAAAAGATTGAAAAAGCTTACTATGTAAGAAAATATTTAAGATACCCTTAAAGTATGGCAGCAACAAATCTATTCAGGTTTCTGCTTCCATAAATTCTGGATAATTATTTTACAAACAGAGTTCCTGCTTAAGGAGAGAAAATATTTATTAGCACATCTGCATTACAAAGCTCTTGTTCTGAGAACTTTTCTACATAACTGAACAGATTAAAGTTAACATTATTGGTCTGTATTTTTCATACCTCGTTTCTTTCCTAAGATTGAGTTTCCATGTTTACCCAGTTGTATAGCCTTCTATTTCCCCACAGCACAAGGACAGATTTTTACCAATGTGAGGAGCTGCTCCTCACATTGGTAAAAATCCTGTCTTTTTTGGAGAGTACGCCATAGAACATGTTTTGCTTTGTATCTCTTTTCGAAACTGGTAACTCTATAGAGTGAAGTAAAAAGTGGAATCTTCTTTTCCTCTCCCAACTCTAAGACCTTCTATCTGGGCCAGACTTTGATATTTGCCCCTTGGCTGAGAATCCGCATATCCAACTTCACACTTAGCTGCAGTGAAGTAGCCCTGCAGGCAGGCCGACTTCAGCGAACCACTAGTGGTATCATCATTAAAATCCTGCTGAAGGTCACCATGGTAACCGCCTGCTGAGGCTCCGCTGCTGCACTCGGCATCTCCTAATCAGCTACCATGTGAAATGCAAATTCAGACAGTCTGAAAATTAGTCAAGAAGAATGGGGGATGAGGATGCAGATATGTGAAATATTCATGCGCTGCACGGAAAAAAGAAGACAGCATGAATGACACAACAAAGAGCGGCCCCTGACATTCTTGCCATCATTTTGCATTATTGTTCACACCCGACTGTATTTCCAGGCCTGCAGTTCTGAAGTTGGTTTTGTGAAATGCCATATTTATATTCTATACCCAAAATAGTAATTAAAAATGGCTAACATAATAGCATTAACATCAAATAAAGATAATACTTCTAAATTATCGTCACTGCCTTATGAGAGTTTAATTACCTGAACACAAAGGCTATGAAACAAACAACAACAACAAAAAACCCAGGCACCACTGATTATTAGTATCAAAACCACAAGAAAAAAAGGTACTTATAACATTCTAGGGCCTCAAGTGCTTTACATATGGTAAAAATTCTTTAGAGATATTTATTATTCAAGTTATACTGACTCAGTTTTCCTTATATAAGACTCAAACTGGTTGCTATTCATTTCAAGATAGAAAGAGCGACAAGACTACCTAATAACTGAATGTTATAATTGTTTTATATTTTTCCTTTGCTCCTTGCCATCTCCCTTGGGTAAAAAATCTGTTGCTCGTGAGAGGGTGAGACGTCCTAATTCAAGACAGTGTTTTCTCTGGGTAGATTCCCCAGTAAGCTCTCCAAAAAGAGTTATGTGAACACATTTAGTTAACCCAAGATACTGCTGTTCTGCCTGCCTCCACCTTAAATACTGGCAAAATCATGATGTACTGGGCTAAAATGGGAGACGTTTTGTTCAATAAAAAACCGTATGTTGGGTAGAGCCAAAACAATTCATTTTAATGGGTTACCACAGCAAGCAAGGATTCAGACTCAGATTTTAATACAGGAGAGTCTTCCAAAATTTTCAATCCCATCAATATACGTTTTAACATGTATGCTAATGATAACCTCAAAACATTTCCCACAGGAATCGGATTACAACAGCGAGGTGGTGAGGGGGCAGGCGTGGTCAAGGGAGGGAGGCTAAAGCTGAAAGTACGAGCTTGAGAGACACACAGCTAAGAGATGCATGTTTCACACTTTGGAAAACACGGAGGAGAGGGAAGTTCTGCAAAGCAGAAAGTTATAATGGTTGTTCTGAGGCTGTGAGAATGAGGAGTGGCCTTATTAAGAAGGGCAGACATGCTTGCTGGTCAATTCGAGCTGGGGTCTGAGCATGAATTTTGCCCTTTGCCGTGTTCAGGAGGCTGCAAAGTCAGCTCTCCGTCTCCTCACACCTAGGAAGTGACCAATTTCACACCACATGCTGTGCTGTGCTCCACTCCACATTAGGAACTGCAGAGTCAACTCTTTAAACAGTAAGTCTCCAAGAGAAGGAAAACAGAATGAAAAGTGCTATTTCTGCCACCATACTCGTCATTTGTGTTTCTGGACAGGAAAAAAAAAAATTCTTAATAAAATGCAAACGTTAGCAAAATGAACAACAGACAAACACATGGACTAAAAAATGACTTACTTCCTCTGAATAGTGATCTGAAGGAAGAGGTGGGTAGTCACACTGTTCTATCTTCTTACACAGCGAGTACAAATTCATTTTGTCACCATAGAAAGGACTCTGTAACGCAGCCATCTGTAAAATGCTCCCAGTGAAACTGATATAGTTACATGGTAACTTTTAAAGGTGATTTCATCAAGTATATTATACTCGGGTAGAAAATAATTACAAATACTTTAAATAAAGTTATCTTGGCATTTTGATTGTTATGAGTATTCCTTTCTGAGAATTATTCAGTAAGTTCTAAAAATCTTACTTCAATTTTTGGGTTTTTTTTTCAATACTTAAAATTCCCTAAAAGGGAGAAATGGTTAGCACATATTTACATATACATATACATATATGTATACGTAAATGTATATGACATAAAGTAACATTAAGAAAAAGAACACAGAGTGACGTAAAACTCTTTGTGAATATAATGCCATAAAAACAAGTAATATATCTCATGACTAAACAGACATTGGTGGTATATATCAACCATGCAATGGTCAAAATATCACTAAAATGAAACAGAAATTGAAAATGAATTATAATCTAAGCCATGGTTTAGGGAGTAGAATGTAGAGCATTTTATACAACATGACTGTTTCTGTAGGGAAAGGTTATTTTGAGATTAAAAAAAAAAAAGTCTTCTCAATCTGAATGTTATAACTGACCCTCAAGTGTTTTACAATGAACTAGAACTTCTTTTCTTTTGATAATGCCTCAAAAACACTAAATATGTTCAAAAGTCTCTGAGTCATAGCCGCTACTTCAAGGCATCCGAATGAGATTTCTATGCAGAAAAAAAAAAAAAGACTCAAAGAATGATCAACTTTAAAAAAGACATTATTGAATTTAAATTTATTTTAAGACAAGGTTCTAACTTGACATTTAAAGTGCAAGCAAGTACTGTGGTAAGCAGGGTTACAAACTAAAAAATTCAATTTAAAATGTTCGCATCCTGTTCAAAACCTTCTAAATCTTTGAACCGCAGCAGCAAGAATACAACACGGAGTGCGAGGCTGCCCCAAAGTCAGTCACCCTTTTCTACATGTGCTAATAAGTTTGATTTTGGAAGGACAATGTGTACATTCCCCAGACAGGCAGAGTGTGTGTGAAACACGCTAGTCCATGCTGTGCTACTCAGTGAGCGTCAGTGGGGACAGGACAAGCTGAAAATGGCTCTCATCTGTCTTCTGGTGCTGCAGACAGAGTTTTAACTCCTTCAGAGCCTTAAACGAGGAGGGGATGGCACTGGAAATCAAACCTGCAAAGTAGCTTGGCATAGTTTTACTTAGCCTACATTTTATATGAAACCTGTATAAACCTACATGAAACAATCTCAGGAGTGGCTGTTCCACATGAGGAGAGAAAAGTAAAAACAATATAAATGGCCCTAAACATGTAAAACCCTCCATCCGAGAGGAAATTTCTAGAAGAGGAGCTATCAGTAATAACATTTTTGTTTTGTTTTGTTTAAAATGCAAGTACACTTTCTTTATGACAGAGTATTATAAAGGCCACCTTAAAAAATACACTGTATATATAAACTATAGTCTTTCCATGTTTGCAAAAACCCTACATAAATGTACATATATTCATTATCATATGCTAGGAGTTCATTATAGTACTTTTGTCTCAATACTGCAGAGTGTTTAAAAAAAAAAAAATCTGAATGTCCCCTAAGGAGTTAAAACAGGAATAGTATATTTTCATGCATCTCCTGCTTTGACAGATGAAAAATGTCAACTGTCCTGTTTTTATTTTCAAGCTTTTGCACTATTCATCTGGTTCATTAGTGCATCTCGATGCTGCCCCTGACAGCTGCTCGCCCTCTCCTCCCAGCAGCTGAATTTTTCAGGCTAATTTGATCCTCCACACTGAGACGATCGCTAGAATGATTGACTTGCTCCCTGACCTCCAGGGTCTGACTTTCCTGATTAGTATTCTGGGGGTGTCGGAGGGACGAAAGCCCACTGTCTGTCTTCGGGGCTGGTGGCAGCTCTCTTTTTTTTTGAACTGTAAGCCACCAACCTACAACCCTGTAAGGATGCAATTGCTGCGCTGAACAATAAAGGAAATGTGTAAAACCTACTTTTCCATGTAAAGGTCCGTGTAGCAAAAGCACAGCATCTTGATTTTAATTAGTAAAGTCTACTTTGTTGCATATCAATTAAAACTGTACTGCTAGTTTTTTTTTTTTGAGGTTTCAGGAATATTTGAAAGTCTAATTTTCTGAGTTTAAAATACATTTTCAAAAAAGCTTCCTACTCCTTCATTGTTAATAGTAAATTCTTGGAGGGATATAATATAGAATGTCCACGAGAGGTTGTGGCCAATTTTTTAAGGCTAAGTTGCTGGGTATTTCTATTAGCACTATATTGAAACATAACTGGAAGGAGATAGAACATAAAGATAAATTAAATCTTTACAAAAATTTTAGTTCTTCCACATGACTTGCATAGAGGAACTGAGAAAATTCACTGAGATGAAACTAATGTTATCATGATAAATACTTTAACTCAAAATTATCCACAACACATAAAACTCATGGATATAGGAGTGTCCAAAGAAATAATTTCTATTTTGGTGATCATTTTAAATACACATAAAAATGAGACACTGCCTCTCAAAGGCAAATCCAGAATGTGAAGAATTATTTCAGTTTAGACATAAAATTCCAGTAGCCCTAAAAGAATTTGCAAACCTCTCAAAAAACATTTATTACCTTAACTGAACTTTTTCTTTTTCATTGCTAAATTTCATCTTGTTAGTGCAAGCCAATTTGCTGTTTACTTTCAGGTGTTTAAAGGAAAATGCCACTTTGATAATATTAGACTATGGCCTGAGGAACCTAATGTTACATAAATAAATATGAAATATTTAAAAATGTACAGTGACTTTTAAACATTATAGTAATTTAATATCAAATCAATTCTTTTCAGCATTGTATCAAATTAGTAACAGAATGTAATATAGTGAGCATAATCTCTTTTAATCTCGTGTGCATACCTAAAAACATGTTTTGTCATATCACTAATTCATAAAAATTAGCCTACAGATGTTATTTAAGAACATTTAAAAATCTATTCTTTTAAAGTGGCCATTAGTGACTTTACTAGAAAGAACAAAATAAACAATTTCAGCTTCCTTAAATTAAGGAAATCTGTAAACCATAATATAATAATTATAAAGATCATGATACACATTAAAAAAAAAAATAAACCTTCTAATGCTCTACTTCCAAGTAGTGGTTGGGGAATTAAAATAGCTGATCTCATGATATATTTCATTTAAGTCAGGAGGATAGGAAACACAAAATATGAGTAAGAAATACATTGGTTTCTATCTATCCACTTTAGATTTCTTTTGTATACATTAAAACATGAAAATGATTCCATGTATTATTTTCCTTCATTTTATTTTATAGTTACTCAGATGTAGACTAACCTTTAATTAGCAGCTCTGACTTAAAGCCTGTATCACTAGGAAAATTACCATTGGATTAAAAAATAAATTTACATAAGTCACTAGTTGTGAGTGCTTTTTGATACCATTACTCTATAACATGAATGTAAAATGTGCTTTTATATAATATGCCTTTTTTTCTACCCATCCAAATTACCGCACTGAAATATTTGTTAAGAGGATATACCTAGATGATTCCATTTTCCTTTGATAAATTATCACCAGTAGAACAGGGGAGAGAGAATTTCACTAAGCTTTACCAATACAACTGTTACTCATGGAAATGAAATTAAGTGGTAACCTAGAAAAATGATCTATTTACCTACTATCCTTGAAGCTAAATTACTCTATGTAAGAGCAAAAGAAATATTGAAAAAGATATTTACCATGCTTTCATGTTTTAAATCCATTCCATTATACCTCTCCTGCTGTGCATGGATAAGCAAGTTATTTTACAGATGTTCAAATGTACATTTTTATAAATAAGATATACAGGATAACATCATATTAATATTAAAAACATTTTTTAAAATAAAATTCTCAATAAAAGGAAACAATTTAAAAAATATTTAGAGGAAGTAAATATGCAGGAATGTATAGTTACCATTACAAAAGCAGTTACTAAGTCAAGAAATTAACCCTTCCTAATTAAAAAGCTAATTCTTAAACACCATCCAGAAAAAAATAAGTGTATACTATAAGGATAGAGGAAATATATTACAGTAACTAAAAATACATCAATATGTGGACTTTATCAACATTACCTACCTCATATAGTAGACAACCAAGAGACCAGATGTCAGATTTGAAGTTGTATCCATTTTCATGTATTCTCTCTGGAGACATGTAATAAGGTGTACCCACTGCAAAAAACAAACCAAACAAAACAAGAGGAGTATAAAAAGGAAGATGCAGCTGTGGTAAGAAATTTTACACACAATATTCTAGATTAAAATATGTCACCAAAATCATTCATTAGAATCAGGAAATCGTTTTTGTGAATACTTAAAACTATTTAATTTCTTCTATTCCCTGACCCTTAAGCAGCACATCGACATCCATCCTATATTAAAAAGGGTGTGGTGAGTTTGTGGTGAGTTAAACTTTTGATCGATTCAGGGAGAATCTCAGGAGCTTAACTAAAGGAAAAACAAGGAATTCTAACAAGAAAATCTACTTAAGTGATTCACATTGGCTTCATTTCTTTATTTTGAAAAAATATGACTTGCATATCCCAAGCAATTAAGCATGATCATATAATCATTTACTTAAATATAAACATTAATTTATAACAATTCGGTAGTGTGTATAAATAAACCATGTTCATTAGCTTTAACAGAAGCATTCCTTAGAACACAGTTGTAGCTCTTAAAATTAAGAGTGATAGAATCATTAACCTTCCGTATCCTTACTACCATTTTAGAAAGAATACAACAGACTTTTGTACATCAAAGGGTTATATAATAACATATGTGAAAGGTCAGTGACATTCTGGAAAAATGTCTGAGTAATACTAATGAGACTTTTTTAAAGACAAGATACTCTGGATAATTTTTATTTTTGTTTCTTTTGATATGCTTATACTTGTTTCCCTTTTTTATGGCCATTTTAGAAAAGACTAACATAATAAATGATAATGTAATAAATTAATATCTATTTTAAAATAGGCAAAGCATGTATGTTATATGTTGAAGGGTAAAAACACTTAAGTAGCTTTCAAAGTGAATATCTTAAAATTTCATATTTAGATGGCTACTTCACTACTATTAGCCTAAGACTTTTTGCCAAATAGACAAAGTTTGAGAACAATATTTTGGAATTTTACTTGCTCATGGCAAAACCTACCAAGAATATGCTGCTACTCACAGACAGAAGGGCGTTCTCCTTTTTCTATTAATTTTCAAGAACTCCCCAGATATTTAGTGTAAATCTTAATGAGACTGTAACTCCCAGTACTGAACTGCGAACAGGAAGAGTCACATCAATAATCAAAGCATTATCCTCAACGGCAGGACTCAGTTTTCCAAAAGAATAAGGTTGTAACCTAATAGTTGTGTGTGAAAACTAGACTGTGCTGAAGGTGAAAACATCACGAACCGTGTATTCACAAGAAATTCCATCTATATTGGAATCCATTTTTACTAATAACGGGGACAGTCCTAGTCAGAATGTACAAAAGGGAAGTATTTATGGAAGTGAAGAAGTGAAGAAAGAACAGGCACACAGGAGGATAAAATAAATTTAAATAAAATATGAACAATTCACGTAGGCAATTAGTAAGACAAACCTTAAGAAACAAATTATTTCAGTGTAGCATTTACTTTGAAGACGGGTAAATCTGCCAATCCCTGTCAGGGTCAGAAAAGCCAAGAAACTTTCAGAAATGGCTAGAATTTTAAACAATCTGAACTGTTACTGGGTAAAATAAACACAAGCTGTCTAGCTTTGGGAGTTCCAACCACTTTCCCTTGTAGTTTGCATACACGACACCGATTACCGGAGGTATTTACACCCTTTCTCCATTTAAGGAATGGTGGTAGGTACAGCTGGAATAGTCAGGGGGCTCTGCACAGGCTCTTGGTTTCAGGACATAAAGCAAGTGACTGGCAGTGAGGAATGTGCAGAGAGAGGCTTCACAGAATCCACAGGGGGCAACTGAAAACACTGAGGCTTGAAGGTTCAGAGTTTACCGAAAGCAAAGGTAATTTTAACCAGTAGCTCTGGGAAACCTGCTGATACATTAGGGGTTTGATATGAGTGTGAAAGATTGATGATAGGGAAAAAGAAGAACAAATGCTAGCATTTTACAGAGATTAGCCCCAGCATAACACCTTAACTGCAACACAACTGAACTCATGGATGACCCGCAAGTGAAGGAAGCAGAGGAAAAGAATGATTAGGAATTCCACTATGCTAAACTTATAATGTAAAAAATTTTAATGTGAAGAGAAGCCTTTTCTAGTGAGCTGCTGGAGGTCATTACAAAGAGTGGCTAATGCTGCTACTGTAAACTCAGACACTGATTCTTCTTCATATTATATATAACAAACTTCCTTATGCTAAACATGCATATTTTATTTTAATATTTAAATTATACAAATCTTGAATGTATATTAAAATGTAAATCTAAGGATGTTACTCACCTTTTTGATTGACACACTTCCAAAAGAGTCATTATGTAGGAAAAGAAGAAAGTTTGTATCCTGCACTACAATTATTAATTGGATCAATTCATAATTAACTGCTGAGCCCAGTGTTAAGAGGGAGTTTCCACTTGCTCCCTCCTACATGATCCCTAAAGTGCACCTCCGTTGTGGACACGGGCTCTTTGGCTGACTGACACGGAGCAGAGAGGTTGAGCCCCATCACATAAACGGGCTCGTCCTTCCTCTCTACCTAGTAGAGAGGTCGAAAAGTTTAAATTGCTCAGGAAAATCTGAAATACATTTAAATGCAGTGATAGGTCTTCCACATTTCAAACTTAATGGATATATAATTATTTCCTAAAAGCCTTTTTTTTTAAATCCGCGACAGCTGTGTCTATTATTACTACTGCCTCAAGAATGTTGTGACTTCTTTTAACAGCTGTACAAGAAAAGGGAGAGTTGTAGAGTGATATGATTAGACATTAAAACAATCATGCAAATTACTATGTACTGAGGGACATGGAGACGGCAGGTTGTGTAATTTCACTAATCTTTCGAGAATTTATGGCTATAGCTAAAATGGGAATGTATTTCACTATAGCAGATATTTATGCCATTTTAACCTCCTGATATGATGAAAGTAAGAAATGGATGATAACATCTTAAAAAAACAGGGAAAGGCTGATATTAAGAGAAAATTGCTAACAACTGAAAATGCTATCTGACCTTTCTTTAAAATATACTGACAATCATTCAAATATAAACAAATTTTAATTGCATTAATCGACTTATTCTAGCTATATGAGAAAAGTTGTACACTGTGTATACTCTATTAACAACAAAAACATTCTAAAATTTATCCTGAACAAAAAGACTGATTTTCAGAAGTTCTACATTATGTTTAAGAGAGTCAAAAAATTCTGCTAACATGCTGTTAAGGAATATATGACTAAATTAATTAATAACTTCCCTTTTATCGGAACAAGTCATATGCAGACTTTTTTCAACATTCAGTAGCATAATTTCTGCAAAGACTTGAATTGAGAAAAACAATAGCACTACTGAGGCATCTGTTTATATGGTTAGAGTGGGTTACTGTTTTTTTGTTTCATTTTGTTTGTTTTAAACAAGGAAGGCAGAGCAAAACCAGTCAAAGGTCAAACACTGTTTCACATCTTACCTCACTAACTAAGACCACTTAACTTCTCTTTTTGTTCACTTTCCTCACCTCTAAGATGCAGGGATGAGAAAGAGGAGATGATTTCTGACATCATTTTGCTCTAAATTCTGCAGCACTCATAAAAACCCTACAAAAATCCATATGGAAAGTGAAATGGAAAGAAGTAATATATTCCTTTTTAAAACTATTACATAGGACAGCCGAGTGAAGTGTTTTAAGTCAGAGAGTACAAACAAGCAAATTCAGTTTAGAAATGTTGCTTTTTCTCTCTTAGAATTAAAGCAAACTGCAGAAAAGAAGCTTTGAACCTGCCTTGTTGGGAACATTAAAAGGACATGAGTCACCTTATACCTCAGTTTGATTTAAAAAAAAAATACAGATACACACAACTTTGGGGAATAAGAATGAATTGTCATTCTCTCCTTCATACTCTTAAGTCAGCCCAGAAATTATGTTGGCAGACTTCAAAGAGAGAAGTCCAATGTATTTAATTTTAAGGAGTATTATCTAAGGTTAATATAGAATGGCTGAGCGGTAGACTAATATTTTTTCTGCAAAAGACAATTCTAAAATTTGTCATCTTTTAAATGCACCTGATGACATTTAAGAGCTTTAATAATGCAGAGGGAGAGAAACCCAGGAAATTGTATTGTTCTTGTTACTCGGCTCTAGGCACTGTGTTAAATGCACTGCATGTATTATCTCGCTGAACTTTTAACAAATGTTTAGCAGGTTCCTACTACAGGGCACACACTGTTCTAGGTGCTGGAGAGATAGAAATAAACAGATTAAGTCCTGACCTCATGGGGCTCATGCACTAGTGAAATGAGGACTACTATGTAGCTTCAGGAGATGTTACTACTGTTACCTTGTTTTAGTGTCCAAATCTTTTTTTTTTTTTAAAGATTTTATTTATGTATTTGACAGAGAGAGACACAGCAAGAGAGGGAACACAAGCAGGGGGAGTGGGAGAAGGAGAAGGAGGCTTCCTGCAGAGCAGGGAGCCCGACGCGGGGCTCAATCCCAGGACCCTGGGATCATGACCTGAGCCAAAGGCAGACGCTTAACGACTGAGCCACCCAGGCGCCCCTCTACTGTTACCTTGTTTTAGAGAAGAGGCTTTGGGAGTTCAGCTAATCTGCCAGAGATCACAAAATGGGTAAATTGTGGACTTGGAATCCAAACCAGGTAGTTCTGTCCCTTGCATTTACTTTTTTTTTTTTAAAGATTTTATTTATTTATTTGAGAGAGAGAATGAGAGATAGAGAGCACGAGAGGGAAGAGGGTCAGAGGGAGAAGCAGACTCCCCGCTGAGCAGGGAGCCCAATGTGGGATTCGATCCGGGGACTCCAGGATCATGACCTGAGCCAAAGGCAGTCACTTAACCAACTGAGCCACCCAGGCGCCCTGTCCCTTGCATTTAAATAGACAGTTATTCCATTAAAACTCTCCACTGTGAAATATAACTAAACAATTATAACAACAATAACAAAATTCTGTATCCTTCCAAATTAAGAAACAGAGAAATCTTCTAAAA